GGATTGGTGATATGGGTGGGAATTTGTGGGAGGTGGGGGGAGGCATGTGTTGGCAGCTGGGGTGTCACATTTGTGTCAAGGCTCTAGGGCCTTGGTCGTGTGTAGCTGTGTGAGGAGACACTTGTCGGAGCACTTCCACTTGCTGTTCATCATTTCGTTCTCTCTTTCTGTCATTCTTTCAGCTTTTCCTCTTCTTTTGTAGTCACCCACTATCTACCTTGCTTATTTTAGCCTTCCTCTGTGTGGTGGCATGTAACCCCACCCCCACCCCCCTTTGAACATTCAAAAGAGGGAGGAAAACAGAGAGCAAAGAGAGAGACAGAGCAAAAGAGTGACAGGGGCTCACCATGGGTCAGATGGGGTCTTGGCTTCCATTGAGGCCTCTCATCACATATTTGTAGATGTGTGCACACCTGCATTGCTGCACCCATGTTCAAAACTTCTATTGTTGGTTATGTACAGAGCTGTGTATGCTACTACCACACCCACTTCAGCTATGACTACTGGTACTCTCACTGCTGCCGCTCCAACAGGCAGACAGAAAATGCAAGGCAACCTTAAAGTAAAGTACTGAAAAGAGAGTAAGGTGGAATTGCTTGCAAAGAGTGGACAGTGGAGCAAAATGGGAGACCTGTTGCAGTGTCATGCAAGGTTTTTTGTTGTTTTGAAAGAAGAAGAAAAGAACTGTGGGTGTGGATACTGAAGTCACTCTTATGCTCCTATACAAATGTGATCGAGCTTATGATAAAGGCTTCAGATGCTCTCCTGATTCTAGAAAGATTTGTTTAATGGTTAAATAAAACCAAATCATAAGGCACATTTGTTAACAATTTAAGCTAATTGTTACTTTGGAAAGTTACTTTGACTGTGACACATTGAATTTTGTTCCCTGGCTATTGTTAATTTGTTTGGATCACAGAATTGACACAAATATCTCAGTTTATCAGTACCTTAAGTGGTGCCTCGTGGCAGAGAATTGTTTACATTTTATTGTAATGTTTTGAGTGACTCTGTCAAGATAGAGCAGCAGTCATTTGAAATGTCACATACTGATGCAAGAAATCCAGCAAACAAAGAGTGAGTGACAGTAAGATGGTGGAAGTGCAGGAAGAAGGCAGTTGGTGGGTTCTTCTCAGTGATTAAAGCTCTGCCAGGTGATTGGCAGTAGCAGCTGAGAAGGAAAACAGGAGCAGGAAAGAGAAGAAAAGAAGAGGTGGCGATGGGAGGTGAGACTTACTGTAGGAGCCACTACCTGAACAGACTGACTAGTAGCAGGGACCAAGCAAAGTCAAATGAGAGAATGATACAGCTAGCATGAGTGATGACACGAATGCATCTATAGTACATCTTCTATGCATTATTCTTTAATTTCTAAAGTAACTTTGAAGTTTCCTATATAACAGTTTTTTGTTTAGCACTGTATATGAGGTGAGGTGGGAAATTATTGTGGGAACAAGATCCAATTAAATGATATATGTATGGCAAATCTGTTGTATGCCCTCTGTACATTTCACTTCCATTGTGTTAGTATAAGCAGCTGTCAAGTTTTCTGAGAACATGGCGTTTCTGTATTAACTACCTAATATGACAATACACATGAATAAATGGCACGTTTGATTTTCACATGTCAACATTTATGTATGGTAAATATGCCTCACATCCAAAACAAACATCAGCATTGAAGTCACATGGCATATTTTTTATACACTGACATTCTTAAATCATCTAGTCGAGTAGTAGCTTCCTTGAAGTAGCTTTAGGCTGTTGTCATTTTTGGGAATGGTTTTTCAGTTCACATCCTCACCTGGTGTTTTGCAGAGAGCTGTGTAATCCTCCTCATTCCTCTGGCAGTATAGGGCACTCAGGGCATGGGAGGTCGCTATAGACTTGAGCACAGACAGAAGAGCTGGTTTTGGGGGCTTCCTCCTCACCATAGGGGGTCTCTCCTGAGAAGGAATCTAATCCAGCTAATCCTTTCTCTGCACACACACACACAAAGATGTGTTGAGCCACAAACATATACGTACACGTATGCATGCATGAGGTCCAGCACACGTATACTCTTAAGTGGTCAGGTATTACGTCATACCTCTGTTAGTGATGGTGAAAGACACAGGGGCTTCAGAGTGATTCTAGAAATGCTGAAAGAAAGGAAACATTTTTTATTTGTCAATATGACAGTGTATCTCTCGCTGAGCATATCCACAGTCATTTCCTTTTCTATTGGCAGTGCTGGTTGTGTAATGTCTGTAGGTATAATATGAGCAATGAGTGTTTCCTACCAGCACCACACAGAGTTCTATAGAGAATTGTTTTCCGCTGGTGGCTATGTCTTCCTTGAAAGTGCTGGATGCTTCTGTTGTCAGGTGCAAAAGATGTGCAGGGGTGGGGTTACGGTGGTGGGTGTTGCATGGTAAAGAGAGAAAGTTGCGAGGGGGAAGGAGGGGGTGGGCTGGCTTTGACAGAGGTGCTGGGCTGATTGCCATCATGATCTGGCCAATCAGAGTAGAGCCAAATGCAGTGAGGAGAGAGTGTAAAGAGGAGGGGGAGTTCAGAACTGAAAGGAGGGAGGGGGTGATGTCAGTTCCTGAGAAACCTACTTTTTCTCGCCTTGTCCCCACCACCCCCAGTCCCCCTACTTTGAGAATAGGGGGCGGGGGGTTAATGTTATGCAACATGCTGAATACCCGCACTGAGGGCACTCATACAGTGGCACACACAGGCCTCCTTCTCTTCTCTTCGGGTTTATTTTTTTGAGAGGTGTTTTTGAGAAGGTGTTTTTAATCATTAATGATGTATTACACATACACAGGGGGTAGTGCACCTTAACTCCTCGCATGTGTGAGTTACAGAGAGTTGCTGGAGGGTTGTACTGACATGATTAGTCAAATCATTTCCATAGGGCTGCCTGCAACTGCCATTTCCATGGCATTACTGCTTTACCCGCTGATTCAGCTGACATATCATAAATTGGCTTGTCAATGTATGGCAAAAATGTTTTTTTAGCAATATTCTTCAAGTTACCTTTTATGTAAAAATGATGATTTCTGGTTACAGTTCATCTAGTGAGAATTTTTTTGTTATCTGTTTTATGTCACTGTAAATGTAATATATCAGGGTTTTTCTTGACTGTCGGTCAGAACACATTGCCTCACACTGGGCTCAGTGGGCATTGTCTGAATAAACATTAAATTTGTTGAAAGAGGAGAGTCACACAGGATGGATAGAATATGGAGGTCTGAGAAATGGAGCTGGTATGGGAAGTATTTGAAAGACTCTTTAAAGACATCAACACATGCTGGGGTCAACCAGTTTTCTTAGGACAAGGAATACGGCAATATGTTTCATTTACGAAACACAGCTGTGTGTACACACACACATGCACATCCTCACATGTTCACCAGTGTACACGCACACACAGATTTTCTTGGTCCAGCTGGGGTGTTAATTTCACCCTGAGGCCGTGTATGTTGACCCCAAAACGCTGTAACTTTGTGAAGTGTGGAATTCTCTAAGCCCGAGGCCGTAATGTGCTCTTTCCTGTGGAGAGTGTACAGTCCTTTGACTTGACCCATTCCTCACTGTTTGGTGTAAACTCTGGTTCTTTGGGTGGCAGCGAGTCCATAACTGGGAAAGTGCTCAGAACAGATAGTGGTTTCTCTCTAAGCACCATCTCTTTTTTTTCAGCCAGACCTTTCTTCATCTCCTCACATATAAAACGTACTGAAACTAGATGTGCCTCTTTCTCTGTACCAGTGTTCACATTTTCCCTAGCTTCGGACTCAGTTTGCCTTTAAGCACTGAGTGTACCAGACAAGTCGACTTGTTAGTGGACTGTCAGTGTGTGTCAGGTCTAAATCAGTTCCATGCGTGCTTTTTGGAAGCGAGGGCTGGTGTAATGTAGCTGGCCTAGCAGTGGAAAGCATGTCGCTCCAGTTAGCCTAAGCCTGCTATTAATGATGAGTATTATAAACATGCCTTCAGACAGGATCAGATGGGAATGCTGTTTGGGTCCAGAAAAAAAGAAATCAAGTGCGTTTTCCTAATGCCCCAGGACGTGCCCCCCTTTCCTCTTCCATTGGTCTGACTGGGTGGTCCAGCCCAGCAGAACAGGCATGCTTGTGTTCAACTTTAATGCCATTACAATGGGCAGAAAATATTCAATCTATGCCTGCTGTTTCACAAATCGAGCAGAATTGTTAAATTGGATTAAAGCATAATAAAACGTTACAGGTTTTTCACTCAGTTTGCTCTCTCACGGGGCATTTTTCATGTTTTTTGCATGAAGAAGTGGAAGAAGGTGACTATAAATTGCAGGAGCTTTCAATTACTGATGATCAAAACGCTCTAAGGGATAAACATGCAGGCATGCAAACAAGTCTCAGGCTGAACTGAGTATGAAACATGTAAATAAACAAGTGCTTTTTTATAGCTTTAAAATTTGTGGATCACTTTTTAATCATTTCACTAAAAATGTGAGCTTGTGCCCAAGCTTGCATGACTGCAGTTGCCTGCATTTGTTCATGTGTGTGTGTGAATGTGAGAGAGACTTTGCCAGGTTTGCCTTGGCTGTGCTGGGGTGGAGCAGGGCAGCTAAAGGGGCTGAAAGGCTGCTTTTGTAGTTTGGGCTAGCTGAGAGCTCAGAGCGCACGCACAGGGCTTAGTCCCACCACGATACTGGGAGCAAAGCCTGCAATAGTCTCTTTCTTTTTATCAGACACAAATACATAATGTCACACAGATATGCAGCCATTGTGGTCTGGCACGCTTTCTCTTGTTAGCAGGTTAGAGTAGAAACACTGAGCTGTAAAAATATGTCACAGATGAAAATGATGACTCTTAAATGTACTACATAATAATTGAATTGATGTGGATATTTGCACAGAGGGGTCAAATTTGCAATGTTAAACCGTTCACTCTCCTTGTCCAGTTGGTGGGCGTGTGAATCAGGAACTGAAGTACACACGGCAGAAGATAGGCGAGGAGGCCATGTTTAACCCTCAGCTGATGATCCAGACGCCGCGGGAGGAGGGAGCCAGTGTACTAACAGTGGAAGCGCTCCTGCAGCACCTGGAGTCAGCTCTCCGAGCCAGCAGAGTTCATGTTTACCTTTATAACAGGTGATTCTTGTCTGTCTATATTTAAGCATTATATTTTCCATTTGTGGGCAGTTCAAGTCGGTTTTCCCTAAATCACTAATTTACCACAAAAAGCAGCATAATGTAATTAAACAACTACTTCATGATAATAAAATATTTATTACTATTCATTCTTTAATCATTCTGGCCTTAGGGACTCTGGGTGTTTTTGTGTCCATGACAAAAATTAAACAGAAGCTCTTCTCTTCTCCTCTTCAGACAATGGAAATTAGACCATTTATGCTACAAATCAGGAGAACTAGTCACAGAAAGTCATGTTATGGATCAGGTAAGATGCAAAAATGTTTAATGATTTTTGCTCTGTTGTGTCTAAAAACAATCTTTTTATTTTTTTATTTTTTTAATAATCTGCTGCTTTTTTTCATATTCACTTCCTGCTGTCAGTTTGTGTCTCTGTTGCTGTTTGTGTTTGTCCAATTAGATCATTGAAAAACTACATCCTTGTCTCATCATCACCCCTTTGGACTGTTTCTGGGAGGGAGCCAAGCTCCAGTCTGGAATGGTCTATCTCCCGTAAGTACTTATTACTTTTTACTGGACAAAATCTACATTTTATGATTTGTCAGCACAATCATAATATGCCAAACCAGCATATCATTAAATTAACCAGGCTCCATCAAGCATATAATCAAATTACTAAATGCTTCTTTAGTAAAATCTTACACATAGGGTTTTCTCGGGCAAAGGCCAGTAGGCAGACTTATTAAAATGATGTTTGGGAAGACCTTGAAAGCTGAGCTCGTGACTGCAGTTTATGGAATCCATGTATATGATAAGGCAGATTATTTTCAAGAGGGAGAAGATGTGAATCTTCTTTTTGCCTCTTTAGTAGAGGCTGCCCAAACATGCTCAATCCATCCAAAGAGACACCACTGAGGAACAAGAGAGTGTGTGTGTGTGTGTGTGTGTGTGTGTGCGCGCGCGCGCTCTGAACTCATCCCCTCTGAAGGCTCTATTGTAGAGGTTGCTGGCATGCGTATCGCTGGCGATAGTTTCTCTCCAGCCCTGGGCCTCACACCATTGTCTGGCCCTTCTGTTGCTAATGGCCTGCTGCTACAGTAATACTCAACAGACCTTTACCTCCGCACGTGTTTGTGCATGTGCACACTCTGTGCCACTGCCATCATTATGTATGTGTTTTGGTGATGTGTGAAGTTTTTCAGACTCATTGTCATCAGGGCATGTCACAATATGTGTGTGATGCACATTGGTCTTCGATGGTAAATAAGGATTTTACTATGTTCTGGTTGGAAGGTTAGGAATAATAACTCAAGCTTGGTTAAGCACATACAATGTAGTCCGAATGACAGAGTGAGAGAGATTCAGGGAAAAAGAGACTGAATGTGTGAGCCTGGTTTGGAGAAGGAACTCCACACTTTGCCATTGTATGATGGGAGCTTGTCTCCATATAGAGTTTTCTGTCATCTAACAAGAAAGATTACTTCTGCTATCAGAAATTAGACTGTATTTATGAAGTAAAATATGGAGGTAATTACACCCAAACCTCTGAAAAACGTAACCCCATTTGCCCGTTCATCCATTATCTATACCAGTTATCCTATTGAGGGTCTTGTTGGGGTCTGGAGGTAGTCCCACCTGACAGTGAGCGGAAGGAATCCCATCACTCCCTTGACAATTCTTTTATCAACCAGACTAATACAACATGTGCTGAAGACAATACACATGTTTAAAGTTATGGTTAAGCAGTATTTGAACTTTGCAGAGGTAAAGACCCTCTGCAGTGGACCAATTTTGACCCCAAGGAGTTCATTGAAGACTTGCGAAGGGCAGGCTTTCCTGTGGAAGCCTTTGAGGACATGTTGGAAAAGGCAGATGTCGGACATGGCTACATGGATAGACCCTGTCTCAACCCTGCTGACCCTGACTGCCCTCTCACTGCACCCAATAAGAACTCAACTAAGGTAGGCCTATATATATTATAGGCTCAGGCTCTCGGCTCTGACTATCTGTATACAGATGCAACATGGTTTTCATGTGTTTAGCTGCTGACATTTTCTTATACTTTGTTTTTGCTGTACTAGCCATTCGATGTAGCATGGGCCCTGAGTGGAGGCTGCCATGGTCTATCCAGGAAATACATGCACTGGCAGGAGGAACTGATCGTCGGAGGGACCACCAAGAATGGCAGCGGACCCCTGCTCAGGTAACATACCCACACTTACACATACACACCCTCATAAACACTGCTGTGATCACTGCAGCACTTATTTTGGAAAGAGCATGTGTTTTTTGTTCTTTTACGCTCTCCGAAATGGAGCATGCATGCGTGTGTGTGCTCTGTGTGATGTAAATCTTGCAGTCATTAGCAGATTCCAGTGAAATCTTAGAGCCCCAGCTGTTCCTGCTCAGCTCTGGCAGTTCTGCTTGGACACTACCTACTCATATGCACACACAAACACTAATACACACATGCACAGAGTGATCTATTGCCTGCCTAGTTTGTACAAATATACAGTGATTTTGAGGTACAAGAACTTAATTCCAACATAAGAACCAGGACAATGCTTGTAGATTATCTGGTACACCTATGTACAGTATACACAGTTTTATGTGTGCGATAAGCTTTATTCCCTCCATAACAAGAATTCAGTCAGTTACTTTATTATACACGCATTTTGTGTAAATATAAAACATATAATATGCACTTTTAATTGAGCAATAAGAAGCTTCGTTTAACATGGGAAAACTATGCAAATTGTTTAACATTTTGTTAATGGATCACTGATTTTTAAATTAAATTACCTTCTGGATGGCACATGCATGCAGAGAATGCAAACCTGTGCACATTCACACACATGCTGTTCACAGAGTACAGTGGGGTGTGTTGTTTGTTTTGTGGTCATGTTTTTTTCCTGGCAAGGTTGGGTCATTAGGGTGTCTCTGCATGCCTGCCTGTGTGTGTGTGTGTGTATGTGTATGTGTGTGTGGTTTAATCGCTCTGTCCATTGGGCTGTTACTGCTGGCACTAGATCTCTCCATCTTGTTTACTAGCTGCCACCATTACTCTGATTATCACCATGTTACAGAAATTGCATTCATAAAGAGAACAGCTAGCTAATGTCTGCTCCAGTGGTTCATAAAATCTGGTGAATGAAAAGAAACCGACTGACTTGACACTCTAGCCGAAAGTGACTTGTTAATGACTAACCCACTGTATTAGTTTATTACCTCCCTAAAGTGTAAAAAGACTCTGCATTAATCTTTACACTAGATACCATGACCTGCTTAAAATGTGTCAAAACATGATCAGGATCCTTGCAGATTGTGACCTCATACATATTTTATGTGATCTGTCATTTGTCAGTATCGAATTTGGTCAGTTTTTTTAACCTTTTGTGTGGTTCCGTTTCCTTGATTTGCTGTAAAAAAACAAGATCTGAGCGTATATTTTTAAGGCATGTTGGCTCAACACTGCAGCCACCCACGAGGAGGACACGAGGTCACTGTTGTCCAGTGTGATGGTTTTTTGTGGATATCTATCATTATCATGTCAAATTAGTTCTAGGAACATTCTGGAAAATTGTGATGGGTGTTTTTGGTCTGAATGATTAATCAGTTAACAATAATCTACAGTTTACTTGAACTGTAAGCACTGTTTATTGTGCAGTGCTTATGAATATTTAGACAGCTCAACATGTGGATGTTTGTGCTGTGCATGGTAAATGAAGCAAGTCTCATGGCTGTGCTCATCTGTCTTCTTGTATAAATCATGTATAACAATATTATGCTTAAACAGCAGGTGTGCTTAACACAACATTGTTTATGATGACTGCTCAAGTGCGCTGCGGTTTTAATGTATTTCCTTTTTTTCCCCTTCTACTTTGCTGGTTAAATCAGAACTCGCTTTGTTCTGGGATCTCCTGGTTTAGAAATTAAGCAATATTTGAGTTTCTAGCCTTTTGGATTAATGAGTTTCTGGGACTATTCGATCTCTTCTGCTTTTCTAATCTCCTTTTTGTTTTGTTGCTCCTCATGGTCCTTATTATTATTATTTGAACACCCACTCTGAGTAGCGACAACTGCTTAAAGCTTGCCAAAGATAAAGTATTTTCACTTTTTTTCTATGGACTGAGTTTTAATAACTCAGATTCTTCTGCTTTTCTGTTGTCTGTAAGAATCAAAAGTTATTTTCACAATCCAATAGTCCAGCTCATTGCCTTGTTTATTGTTGAGACTTGATTTGTCAATGAAGGCTTGCACTTTAGTGACCTTCTTTTTGTTCTCTCTTTCACCCTTTCCATCTTTCCCTCCATCTCACTCTGCTACCCTCCCTCCTTTCCAGTGCCCAGGCCTTGCAGACCATGTTCCAGCTGATGACTCCCAAGCAGATGTTTGAGCACTTTCGGGGCTATGAGGAGGTTTCCCACATCAACTGGAATGAAGAGAAGGCTGCAGCTATACTGGAAGCCTGGCAGAGAAGATACTCTGAGGTAAGGGCCAAAGCACTCAGGAATTAGACAGAGAGATCCAGAAAAGAGGACAAGAAAAGGGAAAAGAAATCTACCCTAAATCCCCTACATCCACATTGTAAATTACTGGCCGGATACAGGTGAACAAGGAAAGGCCCCATCCAAAGCCCAGGGCCCTGATAGATACTCATGCAACTGTCGGTGTGTGGTAAAGGGCTAAAGCTTTCGCCTCACTGTTCAGTAGAGAGGAGTAATAGAGCAAAAGGGATAGCATGTCTGGAATACATTAACAAAGTGCTGGATATCTCTCTCTCTCTCTCTCTCTTTCACTCTCTTGGACATATTCATATACAAACACACATGCAAACACACACAGAGTTCACACACAATTGCTTTCCCAGCTGTGGCCCCATTGGTGGTTCATGTGTGACATCATCTGGTCTTTGTTTTGGGGGCCCCAAACTCTGTTCGACATGGTGTGACCTTGTGTATGTGTGTACAAGTGCGTGTACATCATTCATCTTCTTGTGGACCAAGAATAACTCATTAAAAAAAGAGTTTTGAATGTTTACTCAAATACAGTATTGTTATTAATGACAATCATAAAAGAAGTCAAATGTGTCAACTAGTGCCACTTTGTGGTGTATGTTATGCATGATAAAGCGTGTCTGTATGTGCAGGCATGTTGGCATGTGCAAGTTCACACATGGGTGCAAGTGTGTGTGTGTGTGAGAGAGAGAGAGAGAGAGAGAGAGAGAGAGATCTAGTACATGCTTCTAATGTGTGTCAGCCAGCATCGCTCCCCACTGAGCAGTAACTGCAGTTCAATGTTGAAGCCATCTGTCTGCCCTGAGATAGTGAGAGAGATTGAGAGGATGGGTCATGGCACTATCTGCAATTCTCCCAGATACCTCCTAACACAGAAGCAGAGCTTCAGGGCTGTGATCAGGATGAGGTTTACTTCTTTTATACATAGAGACAGACTGTATATTAGATGTTATTTATCTAACTGACTCGAAAACCGACTGGGAGCTCAGTTCAGCTGTCATCTGTGGTGCAACGCACAAGGAGTTATGGTTGAGTGGCCATCAAAAATGAACTTGAGCATTTACCAAGCTGCTGCGGTACTGTGGAAGAGAAAATGCTCCAGGAATTGAACATTTTTGTGGGATGTTTTATTTATTCATAAGCAGTCTTTGTGACCATGTTGTGCTGTGTTTGGCTTTGAGTCCAAATCCTAAACCGGTCCCATCAGTGTTTCGGAGCTCTTCAGCCTCAGTAACTCATTGTGTAGATAGATTCCACCTTGGATCATTGGAAGCTTTCTTTTTTTTTTTTTCTTCAGATTTTGTATTGAATGTACATAAAACTAGCCTGCAGTCAGAATCATATGAATAACTCTGCTCCTTTGGTCTTATCACCTGATTTTTAGTAATCTTCATTATTGATTTTTCTATTCTCTATTCTAGTTTTAATGTGTTTATCCTGCCTGTTTCTGTTCTTCTTTCCTTTTTTTAGGCAGTGCTGCACAGTGTGACAGCAAATTCTTCACAGAAGGTCTTGTCTTTTACCACCACCACTCTAGAAGATATTCTTAAGTCTTTCTCTGATGTCAGTGTCATCCGTGTGGCCAGTGGGTACCTGCTGATGGTGAGTACAAAGCTGTAAGAAAAAGGGAAAATTCATTTATGGAGCCCATTTGTTAAATTTTACATTATGATTGGGAAATGAATATTTTATCACCTTTTGAGTAACCAAAGTCTAAACTTGGATTGAAGGTGATATAGTAATCAGTTAAAAGAGGAGGGAAGATGTTTAGTGAATGACTTACATGTACAGTAGGTTGATTAATAAATGTATCACTGGCCTTGTTGATTGTTGCTGTTTTTCCCAGCTGGCCTACGCATGTCTGACCATGCTGCGGTGGGACTGTGCCAAGTCTCAGGGGGCCGTAGGGCTGGCAGGTGTCCTGCTTGTGACACTGTCCGTGGCAGCTGGTCTGGGCCTCTGCTCTCTCCTGGGAATATCCTTTAATGCTGCCACCACACAGGTAACACACACATGAAAGCCACTCTGGATTGGCAGATTGCTGATTCATACTCAAAGACACTAAAAATCAGAAATTGAGCCAATTGTTGGGATAGTCTCTCAGACAAGGGTAAATTTCTTTCAGTTATTTTATTATATTTTAGTATTTATTTGCAGTGCTGCATGTTGTATTTATTTAATTGTTAGACTGTGTACACAGTAGCCCCTTTTACACAGAGGTTGTGGCAAACAGCAGGTGTTTTGACTCTCCTTCAAGGCAGCTTTTTTGATTTAAGCCCTTTTACACAAAACTTTAAAAAGCTGGCAAAACGTTGCTTCTGTGCTCCTTTTACCCAGCTGCCAGAATCCCAGTACCAGAGTTACAGCCAATTTGAAAATTAAACAAATGGGCTGTTATCTGACTTGGTTTGACAAATTGATAAATGGATATCGGGAATTACAGTAGCTACTACTGTATGCGCATCCCGTTTCAGGTCTGTGTGTCTGTTTGAGGGCAGGGCTACACACACACACACACACACACACACGGTGTACAGTAGAATAGACACTCACACAGACCCCCTTCCACAGAGTTGTGTAGACGTGTGGCTGTATTTATTCGTGCTTCACAACGTAACCACAATGAAACAGGCGGAAAACTTGCACAGCAAATCTGCAGTGTAAAAGGGACTAGTGCTGCTCATTTTCAGCGTTTGACATTTGACTTGATCATACGGGATCAGAAATATTGTCGCTTTATTTCTACTCCCAAAAAAGCTAAATTGTGAGAGAAATGCATAATGCTAGCTAAAAACTACAAAAATGGCTGTTCCTCTTTCATGAAGCTCATGAAGTTTGTGTGTGTGTTACAGGTGCTGCCCTTCTTGGCTCTGGGAGTCGGAGTGGACGATGTCTTCCTCCTTGCTCATGCCTTCAGTGAGACTGGACAGAACAAGAGGATCCCGTTTGAGGTGAAGCAAACATCCACACTCATCTTTTCTTCCTCACCTTGTTGCTAGCCCTATGTCATCTTATCTTACACCACAGAGGAATGTGTGAAAGCCTGTCTGTGCCTGTGATGTAGCATCAAGCAACGCATGTACCACACACTCTGCCTTTTTTTGAAATCAGAATGGCAACAGCTCCACTCTGTATTCAATAAATGATATTTTTGTGTTTAACTTGCATGTTTTTTATGGATTTTTAGTCAGACTTTATTATAACGCCACATGTATTATCAAGCTAAAACAATCTTAGTTTGCTTCACACAATTCACTCACTTGACTAAACACCTGCTCATGAGTGCTTCTACTCATCAAGTGTGTATGATGTTTTAATACGATAAAACAAAGTATTTTGTATGTTAACAACAACTCCAAATATACATTGTGACAGCAGCAAGATAATGATCTGCACAAGCAAATCAAGGCACATGCAGAATTAAACACAACAAAAAAGAAAAGCAACAACAGTGTAAATAAAGTGTATATTTCTGCAACCTCATGTGGAGTGGGATGATGTTTCCTGGCTAGAAGGGGAAAACACAGGCATGTATTTGCTTGTTTTTGTTTTCCCCTGCTTCTCTCCCTTTCTAGACCTTGTCTCTATTCCCCCCTCATCCCCCAACTCCCTTTGTGTGGCTGAGATGAAAACTAAACAGAGCTGAACCTGATCTCTCCTCTCTGAGACACACACACAGGCGCACACCAAGATACACATGCCTGCAAACACTCCCTGTGTGGTCTTGCACGTCCTTGCATCTTCACACAGTTGTCTCCAAACCTTCCAATGGTGTGTGTGTATGTGTGTGTGTTCACTATAAGAAATAGTTTAAAAAAAAGAAAAAAGAAGTTGCTCGACAGGAGTGATCTCCCTTCATATCGATTTGTTTTGAGACGCAGCAGGTCAGTTTGTTCTTTCTGCTTTTAACTCCTCTGCAAACAGAAGTAGACAGACCCGGGGGATTATCGAAGCACTTCAGGGCTTCAAGAAACATTGCAATCACTGTCAGTCAAATCAGTGTTATGATAATTGTATATTACACTTTTGCCTTTGGCTAAAATCTGATCAAAAGGGTGTCATTGCTTCTCCTTTCATCTCCCTCTTGATCTGTGTCTGTCAGGACCGTACAGGAGAGTGTTTGAAGAGGACAGGGGCCAGCGTGGCTCTCACCTCCATCAGTAACGTCACAGCATTCTTCATGGCAGCCCTTATCCCCATCCCGGCACTCAGAGCCTTTTCTCTACAGGTATGGCCTGCAGTGAGCGTGAGTTTGTGTGTGAGAGAGCGTTCAGTCGTGTGGGGCCTTTATCTCACTAACAGTCCCGTTCCACTCCTCACAGGCTTTACATTTCTCCAGACTGTTTTGTTGATTACATTCATCAAACTGAAACTGTGTGTTTTGTTAAATTCATCCACCCTTTCCCTTCTTTTTTGAGGCCATTTAGTGGTGGGCCTTGTGTCTGTCCAGATTGTGGCTGAGGTTCATGTAACTGAATCCGTATGTGTGTGTGCGTGTGTGTGTAAAGATGGTGGGGATCCAGAGGAGAGGTCTGACTTTTCAAACATCTGTCAGTAATTATAAACGTCATTAGAAGAGTGAGAACTGGGACAGAAAGAAACGCCTGTCACACTGTCAAAATGCCTCCAATAATCACTGAGTTGTTAATTCTCACTCAAACTCACTCAATCATAGTTATACAGATTATAAAGAGAAGATAAGGAATAATTAAACATTTGAAGGCTCTTGTATTAAGACTGAGTCCTGGCAGCAGTATAAGAAACAGAAGGACAGTGCAATAAAGGAAAACGTGTATAAAAACTGTATAGACAGGTTTGATTCATAGGCCAAAGGTCATTTGTGCTGGAACAGATGTGAAAATAAAGTATGTGTAGGTGTGAAGTAGGTTCACTTAGATTGGGACAGTATTAATTCATGCATATATGCAGTTATTTCCAGTTATACAAGTGATAGATTGTATTATAAGCAAAACTTCTACATGGATTCATCCCCTGTTATGTCTAATTCACTTCCTTCCATCAGTATGAGGGGGGAGAAAAAAATAAGAATTTAATCCAGATAACAACATGAAAACACACACAGGAACAAACACATTTCATGCGCAGAGGACAGATGTGATGATAAATCTCCCCTACTCTGGGGTCAGCTAGCGGTTGCTATATGTGTGTGTTAGTGGAGTCATATTAAATCTGTCTGAACGTTAGTGGGCCAATTGAGAATTAATTGTTCTACTTGCAGAGTTTTTCTTTAACTTCATCTCTCTTTTTCTCACATTGTTTTTTTTTTGCTCTTGTTGACTGAGTAGTGAGCTGAGGAATGAGCGAGGGCGAGGAAGTGTGAGTGTGTGTGTCTGGTTGATGTTAAGGTGTGGTTTAAGTAGGAGGCTGTACAGTTTTTTTTTTTTTTTAAGCTGTCAGTAGATACATACTGTATGTGTGTATGTGCATATTTCTGTGTGAGTGTGTAAAGGGTGTGTGTTGTCTGTACAGCCGCAGCGCCTGCTCATCACCTCAGATCCCGCGGGCCTCCGGCTCCTTGGGTGGTCTGGCACACACATGGGATTGTGCGCCTGTGTGTGTGTCTCTTTGGAGTATTTGTGTGTAGTGGTCTGGCAACTGCATGAAATCCAGATTGTACTCTGGGCTGGGCCCCAACCTAACCCCAACCCCCGGCCTCTGCTCCAGAACACCACCTTCAAATACTTAACCACAACACTGTACTGGCTTCTATTACACACACAGACATACACACACGCATTCTCAGTGTTTTTGCCTCGAAAGCAACTGAAAACATGGTGAAGGGCAGTTTTTGTTAGTTTGTGTTGGGAGACGATTCTTCAAGGATGTACAACAGCGTCACAGTCATTTGGCTATTTGGAAGTTGTGTATGGATGGGGGTGCAGGAGTACTTATTGGAAAAACACTTTTCATTATATTTAATTACATTTTATCCTAGGATTTGAGCTTTTGTGTAGAAAAATTGTGTTGTTTATTTTTTCCCCATTGGATTTCTTACTCTTTTGAAGCTCCAGTTGTTTTAGATGTTATCCTACCACTGTCTATATGTAGTGTCACTTTGATCACTTTCAGTTCTTCTCTTTGATAAATGCAGTTTTTCTGTAATATAACTGTTTCTCACAGGCTGCAGTGGTTGTGGTGTTTAACTTTGCCATGGTGCTGCTCATCTTCCCTGCCATCCTCAGTATGGACCTCTACCGACGAGAAGACAGACGTTTTGACATTTTCTGCTGCTTCTACAGGTGTGCAGATACAACCCCCCCCAAATCAAAGCCTAATTATTTCTTAAGTTTTCTGTTTCTGTCTGGCTACTTGGTTGTTTCACTGTCTGTGTCTCCCAGTCTTTATTAAACTTTATCAGTCTGCCTGCCAGTTTGGACACGCTTGTTGGCACATGGATTGTACAGTTGTGCACTCACACTATTAAATTCCCTTGTTGGGTCTCAGCTCTATAGTTCATTCTGTTGGCAGACAGAAAGAAGAGATTCACAGTAACTTAGGGCTGTTAAAGTTTTTAACATTTAATGCAGTTTCTCTTAAAAATTAATACTTAATAGTTTTTCCTGTAAAGACTTTTCTAGAGTACCTTAACTTTGATACTTTCAGTTTTAGAAACTGTTAAGCATTTCACAGTATCCATCAATGTATTTCTTTTCTTTTCCAGCAGTCCGTGGTCTGACATTTTCCACTGTATTTGTCTCTTCAGCCCTTGTGTCAATCGTGTGATACAGATTGAGCCTCAAGCTTACCTGGATGGGGTGGACGGGAGTCACTACAGTCCTCCCCCATCCTACCACACCCCTCCTCCCTCTTACTGCACGCCTCCCCCAAACTACAGCAGCCCACCTCCCTCCTACAGCAGCCATGGCTTTGCTCAGCAGACCCAAATCACTATGCAGTCCACAGTGCAGCTCAGGACTGAGTATGACCCCCGAACTCAGGCCTTCTACACCACAGCTGAGCCCAGATCTGAGATTTCTGTGCAGCCCATCAACACTGCTCCAACTAGGGGCAACCCTAGCAATGACTATTACACCAGCAACCCCAGTGGGAGCAGGAGCAGCAGCAGCAATCACAGCAATCTCAACAACAACTGTAGCAGCCAAAGTAATGGGGGATCTCGAGGCTCTGCCACCTTCTCCCCTCATCATCCGGCATCTCATCCTGCTGCGCAGACTTCAGGTGTTAACTCAGTCCCTCAGGGTGATGCAGTCTCAACGACTGGCCAGAGCCCAGAGAACAACAGCTCCACGCGGGACCTGTTGTCCCATTTAGGAGAAGCCTCACTGGGAATGCGTTGCCTCGAGCCTCCCTGTACTCGTTGGACCCTGGCTTCTTTTGCTGAGAAGCATTATGCGCCGTTCCTTCTGCTGCCCACTACCAAGGTGATTATAGTTTCCCTGTGTGTGTGTGTGTGTGTTGGTACAAAAGAGAGATGGAGATAGAGGGTGTGATGCTGCTGTGTGAGGTAAGTGTGTTTGTGCTGACTCACCATAGCGATAATCTGAATGAAAGGCATAGTCACCAGAGTGTAAAAAGTAGTAGGAGGAAATGGAGGAGGCTGTGGTCATAACCCTGTCTGAGTCACTTAGAAGCACGCACACACACACACACACACACACACACACACACTGACCTCATTCTAGTGGGTGGCCTGTCCTTTCAGAGCCTTCCAGAACAAAATCATCTGGTGACCTGTACTTGACATGATTAGAAATCTTAGGGAGGGACTTTTCATCCCACTGTCAAATGTTTCTTCATATTACCAAACTGCTTCATGCACTCCTCTGATGCCTTAATCCCATGCTCCTCTTATTGCAGAATGACATAAAGGAAAATTGTGTTTTTTTTATTTCTACAGCCTGGGTCTTATTTTGTTGTTTCTTTTTGGGGGGGTGTTTGTTATGGCAACTTTGCTAGAAGAAAAGTCTGACAGAGGAAGAAAAACAAATGGTCAGATGATCAGATAGGTTGTAAACAAGTAGGCCGTTTCCCCAAAGTAACCAATGTAAGGTAAAAACAGAATTGATGCACTCAAAATTATAGTAATGGTTGGTAAAGCTTATTGCAGTAGAAGCGCATGTGCACCCAGTGGGTCAAAGTTGTTTCAGGAAGTCAGTCTGTAAACTCTGAGGGATGTTTACAACAGACAATTTGGATAATAATTTCACTGTTCATCTTTCTTTTTTTTTCTTCTAAATAATTTTGGCCAACTTTGGAGTTTATGTAAAACCAGTCAGTCATCTGACTGTTCATATCTCTTGGCCTGGCTGAGATCTTTTACCAGTGTTACTGTTGGAGTTAATTTAAAGTAAGTCCCTTACTATGTACTGGTTTCCACTGTTTTTGCGTGTGAGCAATTCTTGTTGAATACGTTTCTGTCATCACTCATGTTGCTGTATCTTTGTCCTTCTGTTTCCAGCTGGTTGTGATTGTGCTGTTTCTCTGCCTGCTGGGAGTCAGTTTATATGGAACCACCCAGGTGAGGGATGGCCTGGAGTTGACGGACATCGTGCCGAGAGAGACCAGCGAGTATGACTTCATCGGTGCCCAGTTTAAGTTCTTCTCCTTCTACAACATGTATGTGGTGACACAGCGGGCTGATTATGCCCAGAACCAGCCTTTACTGCACCAGCTCCACCAGAGGTTCCACACTGTTCGCCATGTGCTGAAGGAGGATAATGGGCAACTGCCTCGCATGTGGCTTCAGTACTTCAGGGACTGGCTGCAAGGTAAAAAAATAAGCTTATGTAATTGCCACCTCAGCCAGATCCAGACTGAGTTTAGTCATAATCTTTATATAGATTTTTGACAATAAAGTGGGTCAGATGTAGCAGTGTGATTCAGGCTCATTGTTAGATCACTTAAGCAGAGCAGACACTGTATGAATATGGCCCAATTTTAGATCCGATTCAGTTGCGCCCAACTACTTCTAGAGTCAGACCAAATTTCGGCCTGATCAGTTGTTGTTTGATGTACAGTGCGAGCAGGGTTCCAGCGCCCGTTTTATGACCCAAACAACCAACGATCTGCCTCCCAACCACTCGGATGGATTTCTGGCATATCAGAAGTCTGGTTGGCTGTGTTGCAGATCCACAGCCCGAAGTTAGTTCAGTGCACTTGTGTGAGTACATAGACAACAACATGACACAGTTGAGATATCACATTTTGTGGACAGATTCAACTGAAAGGAGGCCATAGACTACACATAATATATTTATAAACTGTATATGGACAAGGCTAGCGGAGCTCTGGAAGTGCCACGCTGTACAATGTGACATCAAAGTGTTGTCATGATCTCCGACAACAGGAGGAATACTGACAACAGATTACAGCTGTTCGTCAGTAAAATGACAAAATGTAACGCTGTTTTTCTTTTGGTTGACTTAAATTTTACTGGAGTTGTCACTGAACACCCCTGCTCCGAGGTTCTGTTTAAATGTCTAGTGTGAGCACCCACGTCGTGCCGGTCTGAGTGAATGAAATGTTGTTTGGTGTCTGCTCAGCTTTAAATAGTACCCTACTGCTGATGTCACAGATGATTTGTTTATTAATACCTCATTCAACATCACTGTTCAGCTTGGCTCAGACATGGGAATAATTTGCTTCCTCATGGTTTGAGATCATAATTTGTCATGGTTTGAGGTCATAAATTTTTTTTTTTTTTTTTGCTGGGTTCTTACATGAATCTGCAGAAAACAAGATGTTGGGCAGGAGTTCAAATGTAGATGGGACTGCAAAATGGACACTGACAGTAGCTGATTAAAATCATTTGTTTCTTCCATAAGTACGGTTGATGGAAGAGGACGAAGTGGGGGCCTGTATTTTTATACTTGGTCGTAGGCAGTATAGAAAGTTGCAGATGATGTCGGCCGTGTGACTTAGCAAACACGCTCAACCAACTCCATACTGCACATACTAGTTGTAGCTTTTTCTTTATATCTATATCTTTAATTTTATGGGACCTTAAATTAATGTTGCATCATGGTAGGACTCACTTTGCTGATTCTATACCCAGAACTGACAGCTTCTAGGAATTGTAAAATGCCATTGAACAAAATTATTTCTTCCACATGTCACCATAATCCAACAATGGGTTCATTTTCATTGAGGAAGCACATTCACTGACTTGACCCTAATGATAAAACACATAGTGTAAGTCTGTGTGTGTGAGCCAGCTGGGAACCACACAGAGAGAGTGTGGGTAAGAGAGAGAGAGAGAACTGTGTCTGATATTGCTCTCTGCAATGGTGGGACAAATTAGAGCCAGACAGGCCAAGGAATGAGACCCAAAACAACATCTCCCACAGACGGACCACAGCATGGGCCTTGGGGTAGAGCCGAGAGGAGGGGAGTGATACGCATATGGATTAGAAAGAAGTTGAGAAAAGGAGACACATGTTACTGATATATTCACTAATAATCACTTTGAATCTAAAGCAGCAGATCTTAGGCTTTTGAAGTCTTGTTTGGTGATTGAGAATAGAGCAGGGTTATCATATTAAATCAGTCAAACTGACAAGTTTAAGACCAGGTTTGATTGATCTTTTGTTATCTTGTACTGTTTGAGTTTTTATGAACTGGGCTTTCTAAGTGTGTTGCACAAGAAGAATGACGCTAATAGGGCATGTAACCTGTTATTTTTGTGATTCTTTTCTATTTTGTATTTGTCCTTTTGATTGTTCCTCCCATTTTAATGTCTCTGCTCCTTTGGTGGGAGAGTTTTCGAATAGTGTATTTTAGTTCTGTCCTGATTCTTCTCTTTTAGAAGCAAATTGTTCTCAAATTGAAACTGGTGTCTTAGCAGGTGCATATAAATATGTCCTTTAGTATGATGCCTGTTTGATAATGCCCGATTAAGATCTTGTACAGGTCAAAACATTGCTGCTATTGAATTTAAATTATTGAGAGTGTAATACAGTGTGCAAACATTTTTTCTTGCTTTTTACCTTCAACCTGTTCACCCACAGCAATCACATTTAACTAGTCTGTCTGTCTTCTGCAGATCTCCAGCAGGCATTTGACAAGGACTGGGAAGCTGGCCACATTACCCTCAACAGCTACAAAAATGGCTCTGACGATGGCGTCTTGGCATACAAGCTTTTGGTGCAGACAGGACGCAGAGATAAGCCCATCAACTTCAACCAGGTATGTTCAGGATTAAAGCCTATGTCACTTATTGACAAATGAGATTTAGAAAACATAAGGCCATTCGTTTTTTTATATTAATGGTATTATCAGTACTCCCTGTACAGAGACTAAAACCGAAAGTCAATTGTATCTATTCACAGTTAACGTCCGGCAGTCTGTCTGTCCTGGATCAGCTTATTTGTCTGTGCCATAGACCTCAGTTTATGTTCAAAAACAATTGTGAAACAATTTGACACAATTTTGAAACATGAATTGTTTCAACAAAGGCCCAGGACTGTTGCACACCTTAAGACTTGTTTGTAGGAAGAATGGGACAAAATAATGACACCTAACACACTTAATCACTCAGCATCCTCAGTCCCTAAATGTCTTTTAAGTGCTGTAACAAGAAATGCAGGCTTCAGAATTGAAGTGAGTGTTTATTTCGAACACAGAATAAAATTGATGAGGTATCACACCAAATAATGTCCTGCTGTATTGTTTTCAGTGTAATACAGGGCATCTTTATATAGAAGATGAATCGGCCTTAACCTTTAAAGTTAAGATGTGAGGATAGTGTCCACCACTATCAAAGCAGCAGTATGTATATCTGTATTTTCTTATGGTTGGCTGGGGCATGAAGAGCCACCCCCAGCTAAAAACTGTCCCTCTCTCTCTTTCTCTCTCTGTCTTCATCATTTCTCTGTGATGACTTTACCGAGCCCAGGAATTTAAAGCTCTCACTGGGGCTGCAGCGTGTCTCTGAAAAACCTATTAACTCTTCATTTAAACCATTTTTGCCATTTGTACCACACAGAACTACCACTTGGTCATGCTGTGTGTGTGATGCACATGTATGCAGGACCTTGACACTAAGATGTCTCACTTTAGCCTTTGAATCTGATACTTTGTCAATGATTCCAGCTGCAGTTCCTAGTATGCGAATATGGAGGACTGAAAGAAATCAATACACCACAGAGAAACTCCCGCAGGCCCCAGCTGGCCTATAAACAATGGATTCTGGAGTCTGAATTCTGCAGCCCCCTGGCAAGGAATAATTAAAATTGTCAAAATAAACTGGAATCACAAAGAGGTGGATTTATACCAGACTTTTACAAAATATTAGGATGTGTATTTCAACAAATGATAAATTGAGCTATGCCTCACTATGTAGGTCAATGAGTTGAAACTGGCTTTACCAATGTGTTTGAAAGAAAAACGCTCATCTGCTGCATTTTAAGATCAGTATCCTCTGCATGTGATATAACATTCAGTTTCACAAAAAGACAATGAGCTGTATGGAGAAAGTTTAAAAGGGTTTTAGGTCAAAGAATCCTCCACCAAACATTGAGGAAAGCTCCTTTTTTTTCTCTTGCTTACTTCAATAATCCACACCATCAGTAGTATGTTATATAATATACTACAACAAACCACACCATTACATTCACAAAAATTACCTGAAAAGGTGTTACTCGTGTTATTTGCAAGTCTGTACACGCTTTGGTAGTAAGCCTGCAACATTTTGCTGCACAGTGTTTTCAGTGCACCACATGACTTTATAGGTAGAAATGCAACCAGATTTTATCATGAGCACTGGCAGAGCCACAAGATATCCATGACATTGTGTTTCCAAATGGTTCCGCCTACACATAGATTAGTAGAGCTGTTGGCATTGCACATCAATTGAAGTCAAAAGAAGAGCAATGAAAGCCAGTACAAACTGCAGATAAGCTGCTGGAGTTAGCTCTGTCTCCAGTGTGGCACCGGAGGGGGTGACTGACATTTAACAATGATAGGAGTCAAGCTAGTGAGCCACTGAGGTCTCAGAAGGAGGCAGAGAACGAAAGAACAGGGCGGAAGATCGACTCAAGATTCTCCAGTGACAGTAGAAAAAGGTCAGCAAGTTAATAATGAAGAAGAGGAGGAAGTGAGAAAAAGGACGGTGTAAGTGGAGCTCAGAAAGCTTGCTCAGCTTCAACAGGACATTGAATGCTGTTTTTAGTTTGGTACCTTCTCCAGAAAACAACATACATAGATGCGTGGCTGTATTCTTAAACAGGAAACAGCAAAAACAGAAGATAAGGAACTAGATAAATTAAAAACCAAAATTCTTGGCCAGAATTTCTGCAAACCTCAAACACAATACAAGCCATGTCCCTGTCAGCACTGACATCATTTTCCTCAAATATCATTAACTTTGACCATTTTATTTTGTTTTTTTATATTTATAATTAGTGTGTGAAAGTGTGTGTGCATGTCTAGATTAGTGTGTAAAAGCTCTCCCCCTCTACTTTTAATTGTTTGTGATTGGCCTTTTCTTCTACCCATTAATTTCCATTGTAGTAACATACTACTCTTGCCATCCTTTCCACTAGTCGACAGGAAGCAGAAGCACACCTGGTGTGCGGCCCCTGTGACATCACTTCCTGTGCTTGGGAGGGGAGTGTATTTGCTGTGAAGGCCGCCAGCAGAACTGCCTGGGCTTTCTGTGCCAGCTTGGAGACATCACGTTCTCTCTCCATCTCTTCCTCCCTCCCTTTCCCTCCCTCTGTGCTCCACCACTGTGTCCTCTTTCAGTGAAGGGAGCTGAAACACTGGGTTACTTTGTGACAGCTCTGTGTATGGATTTGTATGTTTTGACTGTGTGTTCTGCTTTTGTCTGCTGTGTGTGCCTTTACTACAGTAGCTGTTTTTGTGCCTCAAAATGAAGACCAGATCTTTTCCAATCCTGGCAAATTGCAGAGCAATGTTTTATTTTGTTATGCCACTCCATGGATCTGTGCAGAGGTGTTCTGCCTTTAATCTGTCACTGCTATACTTTCTCTACTGTGGGTGACCATTGGTTTTCTATGGCCTTGCCAGTAATATGGAAGCTGGGCATGTTATTGTGTAGAGTATGTGTGTGTGATTTGAAAATAAGTTAGTTGAGAGATAACAGAAGGAAGTAAGGATGAAGAGAAGGATGAGCTGGAAAGTTTCAAAGTGCTAAAGAAGGCCATTCCTAACACTATCAAGAGCTCTTTCCTTCTCAGGCCCAGGTTGGTCTGCAGCGCCGCCTGGCATTCTGGGTACCCGTAGGGGTCAGGAGAAGCAAGCACGAGCAGCAGTTGTACAGATGTTGTGTTATTTTTATAGCTCTACTCCATTTGCTGGGTGGCATTTCCTTCAGTGTTAACAACCAGGTTAACTACACACAGACGTGCTCAGGGACTCCAGCCAATTTTTTTTTATTGTTTCACTAACTCAAGCAATTTTTCTCTCCCTACTCCCCATCTCAAAAGAACCCTACTCCTCTTTTCATCTGCTTTACTCCATGAGTCAAGTTTCATCCCCAAAACTCTCCCTGCCTCCTCAAAGACAGGATTTATGGTTCCTAGAAGGGAGAGAGACAGAGCAGTGTGCACTGAGGCTTTTACCTCTCAGGAGCTAACAATGCTAGGCTACCCTCCTCACCTCACATGGGGGTGCAGAAATAAGCATGACGCACATTTATGTCTACCTACTGGCCAGAGACCACACAAAATGACTGAAACAGAGCTTGGAAGCAATCTGCAAACAAACACTCAGCATGGTTTTGGTCTTACAGTGGGTGGACGTCAGGAGTTTAACTACAGGCTTCGTCATGTATTTTGCATCAACCAGCTCTATTTGGTAAGACTGAGAGTGATTATAGTGGGAATCCAAACTATGCACAATGGCATTACATAGCCTTGACAAGTCTGGGTATGGCAGTAATATTATGCTATTTTGGGCATGGCTGTTTGTCATAGTAATCTATCCAGTAGTTGTTCAGATATTTCATAAGTCTAGACCAAACTGGTAGACCAACCAAAAAACTGGCCTTACTAAAAAAAAATGTAAAAAAAATAAAAAATAAAACCCTAATAATGTTAATATCCGTTTCATTCCTATAACTCAGTATAGGAATGAAGACTTTAAGCAACTCTACTGTAACCAAGATGCCAGTTGGTATCACAGCAAATCACAAGTCTATTACAACACATACATTACAATGTTACATTTAAAATTAAGACATGGTAGCACATTCTTGACAGAAAAGTGCTGCAAGGCTTTCTTCAGAAATTTGTTCAGAGTGGTCAGGATGTTGGGCCTGATGTTGGCCTGCCCGTATCTACTGTATGTCAAGGGAGATGCTGACTCAACATTTTCCATGTTTTAATGTGGCATGATGATTCTGGGAAGCAGTGATGAGAAGTATGGGAAATTTCAGAAGGGCAACCAGTGTTTCATTTTGGTTAGATTTTATTTGGGGGGGGGGGTTAAAGAGAGAGGGACTAATATTGGACTCTTATTTTAAAAGCTGTTATATTCTCCTGCACTCATGCACGCATATAAATAAGCATGTCTGTGGTCAGATCACCTGTACAGTGTTTGGTTACATGCAATATCTTTTCATGTCCAGCCACAATATGATTTCCAATGCAAGCAAGACCTTTTTTTTTTTTTTTTTTACATCACTTATTCCATTTGCTGATTTTTTTCATTTTCAGATTTCATAATTTGGCTTAGCCTTATACTACTGTAAATATAAAGGACATAATTTAATCCTCTAGAATGCATGTATATTTCTGAGAGTTTCTTTTGAAGAGAATACAGCTTAATAGAACCTGAATTGCCTACATTAGTGATTATGTTACATCATTAATTCACCTCCTTTCTCCTATTTGTAGCTGACTCGTCAGAGGCTTGTGGATGCAGATGGAATCATCAACCCCAGGGCTTTCCACATCTACCTGACTGCCTGGGTCAGCAACGATCCTGTGGCATACGCCGCCTCGCAGGCCAACATTCGCCCACACCCTCCTGAGTGGCTCCACGACCGTACCGACTCCATGCCCGAGACGCGCCTCAGCAGTAAGTCACCATGCCATAAGTTCACAAAATATGATACAAGGCAGAACAGGATTCTATATAATGAACCGGAATTGAGTTTTTTTCTTTTACAGAAGGAAGGAAATGTTAGTAATAATGTTGTTAGCTCCAACAAATTAGGTGTTGCAGTAATCAGAAATCTTGAAATTCATACTTGCTACATGGTACAGCTGAGCAAATTGTATTTACTAACTGCACACTGACATTTTAGGCCTAACGTATATGGGGCACACTGGTCTCTGCAACTTTTTTTAGGTTCCATGAAATGGCCGCTACATGTGTGCCGCATTTACCTCTTGTGGTTTGAGTTATTGCTCCTTGTCTGCCTCTTAGCTTTAAGTGAGGAAGTAGACTTTACTGTACTAACACTGTGTGTGTGTGTGTGTGTGTGTGTGTGTTTGTGTGTTTGTGTATATGTGAGCTCAAGTTGCAAGGCTGAGGACAAAGTCATGGTTCAGTGTAGTTCTTCTAATGGTGCCTGTGGTGAATGCTACGATCCTGGCTACCATGGGGCCCTAGCATTACACACACGCACGCACACGTTATTAAACCTAGGTGACCTCAAACATGACACACACCCTGTTCTCATTTCCCTACCACACACACAGTCTGTAACTCACTTAAAAAAGTCGTGTTTGATTCCAGCCTGTGATTAGGTACAAGTTCGGAAGTGCTCCACAGGGGAGGAAAATGATTGGATAACAAGGAGAGACTGGGTTTGGGTGGGAAGCACAATTGGATAACAAGCAGGAAGTCCTTTAGAGGGGGGAAATATGATTGGATAAACAGTGTGAAGTGCTTGGGTGTGCGGGAGCCCCCCTGGAGCAGATCTGTGCTGGCTGCAAGCCAACTGTGTCCTAATGGAAATTTATAGTTGAGATTTTAGTGGGCCAGACCATGTTGGCAGTCGTTCCTGTCTGACCCTGCAGGCTCATACCAGACTGTCCAAAACCAAATATTTTTATGAGAAGATAGATGGATAGAAATGGAGCTGGAGAGTAAGTCTTTCGATCTCACCCATGCAGAAATGTGCCGTTAATTACACTTCAAGAAAAATTTGAACAAACACACTGTTTTGTCAGCACAAATGATGACTTCATAACAGAGTGAGAGGCAGGTATGCATGTTTATGCATCTATATTATGCTTCATGTTTAGGGTGTGGTAATGGTGGTGATTCCGACATTGTAATTACCGTGAATCAACGATAACTGTGACACTCTGCTGTGCCTGGAACTGATAGGCCCTCATTAGCCAGCTGAGCCACAGACTGCCTGGGTTTGAGTCAATGGAGCTCTGTTTCACAATGCTCTTCCCACCCCGACCACGCGCGCACACGCACGCACACACACACACACACACACACACACACACACACACACACACACACACACATATACATAC